TATTATACTATATTATAGTATATGCTTTTATTTGCTTCTGTCGCTCATGTCGCCAGTGAAAACCAGTCTTTAAGGGCCATCCTTTTTCAAACACTTTTGGGATAAAATACGCAATTTTTTGAACAGTTTTTTTACAGTTTTGAACACTAACGATATTATAAAACATGTTTTGTGAAATTTGAAAAAAAAATAAACACTTTTAAACAAATTTAAACAATTTTATCTTGGAAAAAAAATTTAAACGCTTTTGTTTGGAAAAAAACTTAAACACTTTTCTTGAACAAATTTTAAACGCTTTTATTTTGAACAAATTTGTAAACACTTTCAAATTCCTGAGCTAGTTATGACGTCTGATTTCACGTGATTAGTATAATCGTCCTCTACCAATATGGCTGACGAGGAGGGAACCGTGAAACAACGACAACAACATCTTTATTCGTACAATTACATTGACAAAAGCAGAGAAAACATATATAGGTAAAAAGTTGAATAATCTATTTATACATTTCATCTAAAAATATCTAAAAAATATAATAATATAATAATATAATGGAAGAGGTAAGTAAGCTTATTATTACTGAGAAAATGTCTTTATTTCATGGAGGAGCTTATTTACTAGATGATTTTCATGGAATTAAATCCTATTTGTCGCTTTACAATGCTTGGTTATCGAATGTACGAATAAACAAAGAGTGATTCATGATATTTTCTCAGAAAGAGCTGACCTCTTCTACACGTACGGTTCGCTCGTCGTCAGCCATGTTTGTAGGCAACGATTCTACTCAACCACGTATTTTATGAAATCACATGAAAAAACTGACTCGGGAAAGTGTTTTAATTTTTTTCCAAGCAAAATTGCTTAAATATTTTTCAAGAAGAGTGTTTAATTTTTTTTCAAATTTCGCAAAAACATGCTTAAAAAAATTTAGTTAGTGTTTAAAACTGTAAAATACTGTTCAAAAAATTACATATTTTATCCCAAAAGTGTTTGAAAAAGGATGGCCCTTAACGGACTCTGTAATGTTATTAACGGTTATGGACATGACCAGTTGCTGGGTTATCACCCTGAGGCTTAACACTAATAGGTGCATTATACGAACTTGGTAGCTGTATGCAAAGTTGCAGCGCATTGCAGGCGGGTTGCTTTGGGTGGTTCGATGGTTTCTCCCATTATACAAAGTGCAATTAGATCCAATAATGTAATAAAATGTTTATCAAGAAATGCCATATAACTAGGATTGGTAGAAAAATGAACGTCCCCTTTCTAGGTCCTTGCCACGGGCCTGCACTGAGATTTGTTTTTTGCTGCTGTTTATCAAAAATAGTTTTGAAAAGGAAATTGCAATGGACAGCTTGCAAGGACCAAGGTCATGTAACATTGAAAATTCCAGTAATAAAGTGGTCAGTTACGTTCAATGGTCAGACTAATAATCCTTTAACATTATCATAATTCAGAAAGAAGGAGACAAAGCTAATCCAAAATCGTTACCAAAAGAAGCTGACGTAGTTGTAATTGGTGGTGGTTCAATAGGATGTAGTGTGTTATACCATCTAGCATGTATGGGTGTCACAAATACAGTACTTCTAGAAAAGGACCAGTTAACTGCAGGTACTACTTGGCACAGTGCTGGTCTGTTATGGAGACTGAGGCCATCTGACCAAGAGCTTGAGCTCCTTGCACACACTCGCAACCTTGCCCGAGATGTCCTAGAGAACGAAACTGGGATATCTACAGGATGGATAGAAAATGGTGGACTATTTATTGCTAATAACAAAGAAAGACTTGATGAATATAAAAGACTAATGACGGTGAGTGCTTTTAAGAACATATTTTCAACCAATTTTAATTGATAATGGCTAAGTAGTTACTAATATTGTTCCTGCATATAGGTGTGTTGAATACAAGTGCATATGAAAGAAAACTTAAACACGGTGTAAAAATGATTGCAACTGTACTGAAGTCTGAAGTATTAGTTTTTCATCGCATTAAAATGTTCAATTTCATATATATATATTTATTAATTTTGCAGCTTGGTAAAGCATTTGGTGTTGAATCACATGTTCTGAGTCCAGAAGAAACCAAASAATTATATCCACTGATGAATGTGAATGACTTGTATGGTACACTGTACAGTCAAGGTGATGGTACCATTGATCCAGCTGGATGGGCATTGTCATTAAACAGAGGTGCTACTAAAAGAGGTGCAAAGGTAATGATTTATGAAAGTTTTTTATGATCAGAAATTTCATTTAAATTTTCATCTCTTGCTTATAAATTTGTTGTTTAAAAGCCAGTTGAATTATTACACTAAGTAGGGTTTGAAAAATGCCCAATTCCATTCCTTAGCATTTTTTTTGGTAGAGTGCCACTGCATTTTTGTATGATATTTTTGTATGATTTTTTGAATTATGACTGTTGTGTGTTACCCTCTTGAACTAAAGTTCCTTCATTTGTTCCTTCATTTATTCATTCAGTAGAGTTCCCCCCCTGATTTGAAGTTTTTGTAAGGGCCCTCTGGTTTCCCTCCCCCCCCTTCACAAAACCTCAAAAGCTAAATCCTAATTCAATCCTTGAGTTATAAACATGTCATGGCTTACATCAGCTGAGAGATTAATTGTGTCAGGGTTTGATTATTCAATAGTAATTTGAATTATCATAACTATTTCATGCTTACAATTTATCAATAATTATTTAAATGTTATAAAATTCACAGGTGATAGAGAATTGCAGGGTGACAGGAATCACAACAGATGTTGATGACTTTGGCATGCGCCGAGTGATGGGAGTTGACACCGACTCTGGTCACATTAAGACAAAAAATGTTGTTAATTGCAGTGGAGTATGGTCACCTTACATTGGCTCTCTGGCTGGTGTTAATGTACCTCTATGTGCAATGTACCATGCTTATATTGTAACTGAACGCATAGAAGGAATCCAAAATATGCCTAACGTCAGGGACCATGATGCAGCAGTGTATCTAAAGTTACAAGGTGATGGACTTTCTGTCGGAGGATATGAACAAAACCCAGTCTTTTGGGAAAAGGTACATACTGTCATTATAGATTAAGTAAGTTAAATTTATAAGGTGTAATAAAATTGTCATTTAAAATATTTTTTTCTCCTGGTATTTTTGTCAGAATTTAAACTCTAATTGTTTGTACTTTTTTACTGAACAACTATCTTCAGGTAAAGAAGGACTTTGCATTTGGTCTGTTTGACCTTGATTGGGATGTATTCAGTGTCCATATTGAAGGAGCATGCAACAGGGTACCAGTTATTGAACAAACCGGTATTAAGTCAACAGTCTGTGGTCCAGAATCCTTCACTGCAGACCATAAACCCCTCATGGGAGAGGTACCAGAACTGCGTGGGTTCTATCTTGGGTGTGGCTTTAATTCTGCTGGGATCATGCTTGCTGGGGGTTGTGGAAGAGAGTTAGCACGCTGGATAATAAATGGCTCTCCAGATCTGGACTTGCATGGTTATGATATAAGGTATTTTGTTAAAGAATTCTTGAGTGATTTTTAAGCTGTTAATTTTTCATTCTCGACTCATAGTTTATTATTATACCACCCCAAAGTACAGGAGTAACACAGCTCAACCGGGTGTGAATGAAAGAGTGTAAATAATCATTCTAAACAATGATTTGCAGACGCTTTCATTCTTCGATGACTGATAATCAAAAGTGGATCTGGGAGAGAAGCCATGAGTCGTATGCCAAGAACTATGCCATGGTGTTTCCTCATGATGAACCACTTGCAAGTAGGAACATGAGATGTGATGCCTTCCACAAGGTAATTAAACATGCAAGAATCTAAATATTTAATTATAATTTGTGTGCCAGGGATTAATTTTATTGTGCTATGATTTCTGAACACATTCCTAAATAAGTATTCTCAAGAACTAACAGCAAACAAAGAGGCAATACTCAAGAGAAAGACATATGGTCTGAATTGGAAATATACATGTTGCATCTAAGTTGAGAAGGTCTACTCACTTGTGATTGTTCATATATTTTAGGTGCTGTTGGATGCTGGATGCGTATATCAAGAGCGCCATGGTTGGGAGAGACCTGGGTGGTTCAACATATCACAACAACCAGAGGTAAGCTAGATAACTTATAATAATAATAGCGATAATAGTAGCAGTAGCAGTAGTAGTAGCAGCAGCAACAGCAGCAGCAGCAGTCACAGTAGCAGTAGTAGTAGCAGCAGCGGCAGCAGTAGCAGTAGTAGCAGTAGCAGTAGTAGCAGTAGCAGTAGTAGTAGTAGCAGCAGCAGCAGTAGCAGTAGCAGTAGTAGTAGTAGCAGTAGCAGTAGTAGTAGCAGCAGCAGCAGCAGTAGTAGTAGTAGCAGTAGCAGTAGTAGTAGTAGTAGCAGTAGTAGCAGTAGCAGTAGCAGTAGTAGTAGTAGTAGCAGCAGTAGTAGTAGTAGTAGTAGCAGCAGTAGCAGTAGCAGCAGTAGCAGCAGCAGCAGCAGCAGCAGTTGTAAATAATAATATTGGAAAGTCATATAGTAAATAACTGTAATTATTATAATTCTGATGCTAGGTCAAAGAGTATGATTATTATGGATGTTACGACAAGAAGAAGCATGAAGACTACTTGTACAATGAACTCTTGAGTCAAGAATACACCTTTGACTTCCCTCCACATCATGACATTGTAGGTTTTTAAGAGGTCCTGAAGGAATTGGAGAAGGAGGGAACTCTGTTGTAACTAATATCCACTACTACTGTATTTTCAAAAATCACCCCACACCTCCCCCCTTTTCAATGCTCCCTGGTCTTTTCTCAATAGACTGGATTTCATATGCCCAGCAGCATGGTATGGATTGACAATATTTGCTGAGGAAATTACATCACAAGGAGAACAAAAGAATGCTAATCCAATCAGAATGCTTGGGTGTGGCTCTGTAACAGTTCCACCACATTCACACTGTTTCTTTTTCACAGGCATAATATATGCTTTCTTTAAAATGTTCCAGATCGAACAAGAAGCCAAAGCCTGTAGAACTAGTGCGGCAGTCTTCAACATGTCATATTTTGCAAAATACTACATCACTGGACAAGACGCCCAGCAGGCTGTGGACTGGATCTTCACTGCAAACATGCAAAAACCTGCTGGTAATAGAGTATTTTTAAGAGGAGATAACTAGCTAAAAACTAGTGTGAGCTGTGTCAGTGTTTCTAATGAAACAGTAATGATAAAAAGGTAAATTATACGCCGTGAAAAGATGAAAAAACTTACTGACATTTTGGACGCTAGTCCTTCGTCGGAGTAAAAGAGAAAGAGGTGGTAGAAATGGTTAGCTAGATTGAGATTATTTTTATATTTATTATCGTTCCTTGCACGATTGACTTACTTTCTTTGGACCTGTAGTAGACCCAAATGATTTCCCATTTCAGATTACATTTCATTTCTTTCAAAGACCATTAAATTTCATTGATACCCTGAATTCCTGAAACAACCTCTGCCCCCCTCCCCCCAATCAAAATCCTCAATCTGACAATGTGCAGTTTATGGCCGGAAACTCACAGATTGAATTGGAAATTAATTAGTGTGATGGTGAAAAACTTTCCTTCATACCAGCTAAACCTTTTGATACATTTTCTTTTTGTGTTTAGGAAGTACCACATACACCTGTATGACCAACAAGGATGGGGGAGTTGAAGCTGACTTGACCGTTAGTGTGCTGGAAGATGGAGATGGTTCAAGCGTAGTCAGACCACAATTTGATGGTTGGTAATAGTAAACAGTTGTTATAGCCGCCATGTTGGATGACTTGAACAAATGATTTGGTCTTGGTTTCTCTTGTCATATCATGAACCAACATGGCGGCCATGTCTTTTGTCCTTGTGCATGTGACGTCATAGCCGCCATGTTGGATGACTTGAACAAAATTTAATGGTTTGGTCTTGGTTTCTCTTGTCATACCATGAACCAACATGGCGGCCATGTCTTTTGTCCTTGTGCATGTGACGTCATAGCTACCATGTTGGATGACTTGAACAAATGATTTGGTCTTGGTTTCTCTTGTCATTATGATAATGATAATGATTTATGAATTTTTATAGCGCCTTTTCTGTATGAATATAATCAAAGGCGCTTTACATTGAGTTGTGAATGACAGATTGCTTTTTGTGCAATTAACAAGCATGAGAGATGGTTAGTATGAAGTATAGGCACTGAGGGTGGTCACTGCTAGGGTTTCTTTACGTCCTCAGTGGTTCTTTTACGTCCCTCCGATGTTGGTTAGTAATGATGAGAGTGGAGGGATCTAGACGGGACCGCCTTTTAAAGTGGTAATCCGAGCCACTTGAAAGTCTAACCATTTGTAGATGTAATTACAAAGGCAGCACTTTCTCCTCAGTTATATTAAGACCCTGAGTGTTGGTCGGTTTGCGTGTAAACCAATGGCAGCCATGTCTTTGGTTGTAGGCCTTTTTTCCTCATGTAAAGGGAGGGGCTCCAAGCCCTATAATCAAGCAGCTTGTACACCAACACATTATGATCTCGTTTAACAGGTGATGGTTTCTATGTGGCTATTGGCGGCGGGGTCGGTCAGCACAGCTGGTCTCATATCAATAATATCCTGGCTGAGAAGAAATTTGATGTCAAGATTCAAGACCACACGAACGACATGGGACTGCTTAGTGTACAAGGGCCGAAAAGGTGTGTAATAGAAGGGGCGTAGCCAAGGGGGAGGGAATGGGTGGCTAGCCAATTATCATTCTTCTGCATCCTTGCATATACTTTGTGGGCAACAAATGCGCACGCGCTGAAGATACAAGCAACATTCGCTCTGCAACTCTGTACTGTCGTAAAAGCTGCGCGATGTTTTTTCCGCACTTATTGCTGACTCTACTTCATTTAACAGACAAACGCGCAGTAGTGCAGTAGCATTGATAGTAGTATTTAGACGTGCGCTAATCATTTTGAGGTACAATTTGAAGGTTGATATCTTAACTAAACCTTGGTTTTTCTAGTTTGGAAATCTTGCAGTCTTTAACAACTACAGACCTCTCCACCGAGGCTATCCCATTTTCAACTCACAAAGTCATCAACATAGCTGGTCATGATGTGCGGGTAATACGCTTGACCTTTGTGGGAGAACTTGGACTTGAACTCCACATCCCGCGGGATTCGTGTGTTCCTGTGTACCATGCAGTCATGTCTGCGGGAGAGAATTACGGGATAGCTAACGCAGGTTATCGCGCAATTGATTCACTGAGCGCTGAGAAGGGATACAAGCATTGGCACCAAGATCTTCGACATGACGATACACCACTAGAAGCGGGATTAGGGTTTACATGTAAGCTGAAAACAGACACGCCATTCCTTGGAAGAGAAGCCCTCGAAAAGCAAAAAGAAGAAGGGTTAAAGAAGAAACTTGTCTGCTTTACAATTGACCAGTGAGTATCTGCTTCGCTTTTGTAAAAAAGATTTATTGTGCGATGCCTATTTACACTGTCCATACATTTTTTCTCGTGCTGGAATCTTAATTTTTGATCGATGCATCGAAAAAATGCAGCACGTGCAATCATAAAAGTTCAACCTTTTTTTTTTTCCTGAAACGTTTTTATTTGTCGCATGAAAATGTTCACACTATGCCAGATAAATTTGAATCCGAATTTTTATCTATTCGGTTAGGCCTACCGTCCACACTAGTCCGGGCGAATCCGGAACAATTCTTCGCCGAAAATTAATTTTTTCGAATACGGTTTCCAGAGCGGAACAATTTGATAACGCCGGCCAGCCGTATTATTAGTGTGGACGGAGAACATTCCGTATCCGAAATGTTTCGAATATGATGACTTCATGATTGTCATGGGAACATGGCGGGGAGGCTAAAAATTCACCGCAGGCTCAATTTCAGCTTCGATGCACATGCTCTGATGTGCAATGAAGCGTTTTTGCCACCTCTGATCGGACTAGTGTGGATGCGAAACATTTTATCCCTTTTCATGTGTGGACGAAAAACCTTTTTTTTCGGTTTCAATGTGAAAGTTGCGGATTCAAATTTATCCGGCATAGTGTGGACGGGGCCTTAGCTCTAATGTTTTATAAGCACAAGACAAGTGCGAGGTGTCAAACTGACTTGCGCGAACAAACAGAAGCTCAATTGACGTAAGGAAATTCTCTTTCAGGCCGAAAGCGTTGATTGGTCTGGAAGTCATTCACAGGAATGATGAGGTCGTTGGCTTTATTCGTCGTGGAGATTTTGGATTTGCCATTAACAAAAGTATTGCTTACGGATACGTCAAGGATCCTAGTGGCAAGACTGTTAATAATAATTATCTAAAGGAGGGAAGCTATACATTAGAATCAATGGGGGAAGTTTTTCCTGCTGAAATACACCTGAAGGCAYCTTTTGATCCCAAAAATCTACGAATCAAGGGGCAATACGAAGCAGAGCGCATTACAGAAAGAAAATATATGATGATGTATTAGAGAACTTATAAATATTTAAGGACTCCGCATTCATCTCCAAATTCTTTAGCCGCAATGATATTTTTACGCGATCTCTGCCATTCTCGAAAAAATTTGGTCTCCCACTTTGTAGCATAGCTGGTCTTTGCTGGTACTCGCATTAAGGTAATTTGAATCTACTCATCCTCTCGAATGCAAGAAAAAATGCAAATTTACTTTGAATTCACAGCCTTTTAAGTAACTCCCACGGAATTTGTTAATAAGTCAGCTTTAATGGTAGTCAATCTCGCACGTCTATTGGGATTCACTAAACTGTAATTTGTTCAATATTGTGAATAAGAAAAATCATTTTAGGTTAAAATCAACGAAATTTTCAACCAACTAGCATTATTTACACCACATTAAGGTGGTTGGGTACAGTTTATATAGCCGACCGCATCGAGCTTGTTTATTCGCTTTGTTTATAATGTTGCTTTTATTAATTAATTACAATGAAACTTTCATCAATATATTAGACAATAATTGTAGTTTATAATAATTATATATTTTTTAAAATAGCGTTAAATAAATCAAAGTTATAAAAAGAAAGAAAGAAACAAATTCTGTGTGTTTCCCTCGTATTTTCAAATTGATTCATTTACACAAACTATGATATATGACTTAGAAAAAAGCTGCAAGACTGCTTGTTCTCTCCCCTTGATGTATGATGTTATCCATTGGAGGGCTTGAGCTTTGATACCAAATCTATTTTGTAGTCTTGATATAAGTACTTCGTGATCTATGGTGTCAAAGGCCGCTGATAAGTCTAACATAACGAGAATAGCTTCTTTGTGACTGTCGATTGCAAGAAGGATGTCATTTGTCATGCGCAACATAGCGGTTTCAGTACTATGAGTTTTGCGATACGCTGACTGTGATATTGGGAGTAGTAGTTGGTTTTCATCAAGATACAAGTTTTATAGTTGTTTGAGTGCGCATTTCTCTAGGATCTTTGATTAAAACGGTAAGTTGGGGTCTTTCTTCTTGAGAATAGGATTAACGCGGCCGCTACGCCTCGTGGATCCACACTACTTTGATAATGAGACGACGTTTCACTGAACGAAACTGTAAAAAGGAGTATAGTCAGTATTATTGATATTAAACGTATATCTGATACAATAGTTATTGCAAGTGACATCATGGCTGTTGTCTGAAATGAATTTATTTTATTCTTATGGATTTAGAGATTACATTGAAAAAGCAATACCGAAGTCATTATCATTGCCCTGATTATTTTCAGTTAATATTCATCAAATGTAACAAATTAAGAATGGGTGTCAACTTTTATTCTCAAAATTAAAGAAGATCCATACTCATAGTTTTATGAAGAGTCCTAAGTGGTATTTGATTATGGAAGAAGAATCTGTTTGACAGATTGACATTCTATCCTTTTAGCTACACATGAATGCATGATTTCTAACATTTTTACCCAGTTTGATACTACCTATCTATTACATGGAATTCCTTCACTTACTGAAAGAGAATGTTCTAACAAAAGAATAGTTTAGCTTTGGTGTAATGTTTTCTCATTTCTAACCATGGGCCTTGATCACACAGTGCTATGTCTATTTTTATAAGAAAGAAAGATTAGTTGAACCCTGCCCGCATAACCTCATCCTGAAACGCTTGAATGTGAGGCTATGTGAGAAAAATCTATTGTTCTAGTCAACATGGCTGCCGCGTGAGAAAGATCCATGTGCAGTGTCATTCCCGGGAATAAGATTGTTTGAGTAACCTCCATAACATTGATAGTTATTCAAGTGTTACCGCTAAACAAAGAAACAATACTTAGGGGAATGACACATGGTTTCAGATGGAAAACATTCTACACTGACTATACTAGTCTGTTGGGAGCATTGCAAATAAAAGTAACCTTGGTTAAAAGCAATACATATAATGAAAATCCTTACGTAATTAATTTTATGCTCAACCTTACTTTGACTTTATCCTAAGAAACATTATCCTGGGTGTTCTCTTGCACTTTTAAATGCTTCTTCTATACTGTAGGTTTCATTTGCACAGCTGTTTCTTTGCTTCACACTCCATAGGTACTGAAGCAAAAAGACTTTTGGACCTAGGAAAAAAACCTGTAGGATAATGTCAAGTGACCAGTTCGATATCTAGATACTCTACATACTGTTTAACCACAAAATCATTTCAATGTTATCTAATACCCCATTCACACCA